CAGCGGTCTCTGCCTGCTGCGAGGGAATGACTGAAAGCGTAGCAATATTCCCCCCTCAGACCTGTGGTGAAGGAGAGTGTCATATCATCTGGTAATGAAAGCTTTTGCTCTTTCCGGCTAAAAGCCAACTTTAAAAACACTCATGTTTCCACTTATAGCAGGAAACATTTCTCTGAAAAAAGCCTCACATTGTACACACGCTGAAAAAGGAATCTCTAGAAAGTAAAAAAGCCTTGTTTCTGGAAAATTAGTCTTATTTTTTGTCTAAAAAGTCTTGTAAAGCAGTTTTTGCATTAGAAAGATAATCTGGTTTTAAAAAAATATATCTAACTTTGTTTTATATTCCAGCTAACATTGAGCTAGATTTAACCAGTAACAACTTACAGCAATGGTTTCCATAATATCCCAGCAGAGGAACAAGATTATTTTCAGTATTTTAAGAGGAAGAACACTTGCACAACTTCTTAGTTTAAGAGAATGTAGCATGTTGAAGCAGCTGTTTAGTTTTTCATTGTTAAAAAAAACAACAAAAAAATGCTCATGGTGCCTTCATTTAAGATAAAGTCACTTATTTGTATTATGCGGTTTGAGAAATTGTGTCTTATTGTAATTTTTTTTTTGCTAATAATCTTACACATTTTTAAATTCAGCTCAATAAAGTGACCAAAATACTTATTTTACTTTTCTTTATCTTAAACAACTGAGTTTTCATTGCTTGTAGTAAGCACAACTTGCTTACATTTTTGGAATTTCTTCTGGTTTTAAAGTCCATTACAGCGTTTCAGTGGCTAGGTTTGTATGCCAGTTTTAAGAATTCTATCCAAGTAAGTCTTACCCCATCAATACAAAATACGAAAATACGATACGAAATTTTTATTATATTTAAGAATAATGGCTTGTTTCAAGAAGTGCTGTTTTTGCAGAGTACAAAAAGGTGCTATACATAAGTGAAGCAGATTATAGGATTATTCTCATCAGCACTGTCAAACAGGATATGACAACAACCAATGTGTTGATAAATGTGCTGTAGATACAAATATCTAGGTACATTAGCACTGAAACAATTAGTCAGTTATTTGGCACTTACATTTCTCTTATATTAGCTATAGAAAATTAAATATGTTTTGGTTTTAGACTTTCTGGACAAAACAACCCATTTTAAGACATAATCTTGAGCTCTGGAAAATAGTGATAATCCCTTTTACCGTTTTTGTTGTTGTTGTTGTTTTTTGACATTTTATATAGACCAAATGATTAATCATTTAATCGAGAAAATAATTATCAGACTGATTAATAAGGAAAATGATCATTAGTTGCAACCATGGGATGCACATATGTATGAACTGCTGTAATCAATTACTCAGAATATAATACTAATTGATAAAGTAATTACATTAACTCACTAATTACTCAACTGCAAAAGCATAAGTCACTAAATGACTTTACTCTAGAGAGCAGATTTACAAGCTGCCCACATCTCCTTAAAGTTGCGTAGAAACAGTAAACAAGACATTGTAGTTTATCAAGCAGCTAGCCTGATGTTACAGTTTGATGTTACCAAGCTAAGCTAAGTCCCTAGTTCCCTAGCTAGGCTGGTTACTGAATGCACCAAGACAAAACTGATTCCAAGCCTACCATCCAACTCCTGACCGGACAATCAACCTCAAAAATGTCATATTTAGTAACTGTACCGGGTTAAAGATGCAGATTTTAGTTTAAAACGTAAGACATCTATGTATTATGTTGCATTGCTATCTACTGAAGTTACTATGCTAACCAGCTAGCCCTGGCGTGTCTCGTAATACCACTTTGTACCTCAAGAGGCGATAGTGAGTCACTGTTGCGTGTTGTCTGCCCTCAGTCTATACGTTTTATTAGTTTGGCTCCTGGCCGACTGTCCTCTCGCTCCCATTTCATGCCTCTCCTGTCCCCACCTGAACAAGCCATGTCTTCGTTGTCCCCAGAGTCGAGGTCCTATCAGAGCCACTGTCGTCGAACTGGTCTTCGTGGGTCTTGGATGTTCGGAGCCCAGTTCAGTTGCCCGCTCCGTTTCTGGTGCCCAATCCGCCACTGCTTCTGGCCAACATCCGAGCAAGGGTTCCATCCTGCCCCTGGCCTGAAAACCTTCTCCTCATGGTGGTCCAAAGCTCCTGTGCTAGAGGTGTTAACACCAACACTCTGGTGCTCCGACCTTCCAGTACAGGCAGAGTCAGCTAACAGGACTGCTAGCTGCATGGCTGACTAAGCTAACTATAGCAACGGCAGCTTAACTTTTTGCTGATATGCTGCCACCTATTTGTTTAGAGTATGAATTCAACAGGTGGCCAATTCTTACACATACCTCCAAATGTAAAGTAATTAATACATTTCAAACTGAACTGAAATACCTTACACTACTTGTTACTGACCAAGGTTATCTAATTTGCCAGTATTGTAGTAATGTAAATATTGTATTCTACTGCGTTAATACAATAATTGATAAAGAAAAATAATAATTTGTCATATCGAGGATTTGTCATATTTCCGTTAGCGTAAAGGTCACACCAATACAGAATCAATTAACTCTTACTGAAGGATATGACAGATTGAACGCTGACGTATCCAGTGACGTACTCGCCATTATCTGTCTGAAAAGCCAGAGAAACACACACCAGCCATGACACATCTCTGCCCCCCTCCCTTTGGTTTCTCAGTGGTAAATATGAAGGCAGCTCTTTGACCTCCAGGAACATCTCACCATTTCATCTCAGCACAGAACGTCAGAGCCGATCACTGCACACATTTGAGAACCACCGGGCTGTCATTAATGAGTAATGCAGCTTAGTTTAGCTCAGTTCCTCACTTTAACATGAACTGCTTAAAACCCAACACATGCCTGTAATGCTCAAAAACAAAAAAGATCACATGTAGTCATTGACTGTTGGGAATCACTTTTTAAATTTTCAACACAACAAGATTTATACATTGCAGAACACAAATGACATGAACACTAATGATGACTTATCCGTAGTTGTAGGGCTAGAAATGAAAACTTTGTCCAAAGAGTACAGCTAGCGGGATTGTGATTAAACATTTTTTTTTAAAAATTAAAAAAAAATGTGTATTGCCTTGGGAGAATGAACATATGTGCTCACCAAAAAACATTGAAATATGATTTTAAGATTATAGTTTTAAAATAGATTATATATAATCGTGTGCAAAAATGATATTTTGGCCTGAAAGGGAAGCTAGAGAGTCCAAAATTAAAAGGTCCATTCTCTGGGGAGTATGAATGTCCTAAAGGACTGAAGGATTTGCTGGCATCTAGCAGTATATTTACTGATGGGAACGTCCTTGCCTCACCCTCCAAATCAAGCATGTGGGAGAAACTATGGTGGCTGGGAAACTCGCAAAAGGCCATATCTGTAGGAGGTGTTTGATTTGTACATTCTGGGCTACTGTAGGATAATGGTGGATCAACATGGTGGCCTCGTAGAACAGGATCCACTCCTTCTTTAGATAAAAATGTCTCATTCTAAGGTAACGAAAACACAATTATTCTTACTTTCAGGAGATTATACCCTAATGAAAACATACATGAATATTATATTCCATTTCTGACAATATATCCTCCTAAATGTTACACACTGGACCTTTAAATCGGTACATTTTGACAATCCGCAAATTGGAATTTGTGTATAAGGGGAGAGGTGGGCAGGGATATCCACGGGAAACCTCGTGGGAATCTGACCCCTGAGTAAACCGTGGAACAAAGAGTGTGTTTTTGTTCAGCCACGGTGACTCAAGACATCTACCTCATTTTCTTTATAAAACACACATTTCATGTAAAAACACATAACTTCCTGTTATGTGACTAAATATAAGAAATAGCTAAGAGCCCAGTGTGTGTATCAGGAAAACACTTTTCATAAAACTAGTTATCTATGTCCGTACGATTTGTCTTCAGTTTGGGTATGAAGAGCGGATTTATGGATGTAAGCTCTGCTCATTGTTCCCGCTGCAGATTTCTAAAGGAAATCTTGCAACAAGGTTAAATGAAAAACATAGGTTCTATAGCTAACACACACATACACATGTCTACAGTGTGCACAATGTTTCTTAGATAACTGAGTTACCATTGATCATTCGGTATATAAAATATTTAAAAAAGTACAACCCTCCCCAAAATCTTTCTTTAGATTGCTTGATTAGTCCTAGTCAAACCCCAATAATATTCATCAATCATTAATACTGATAGCAGAAACCAAAGATAGCAGAAGCCCACACATCTGAGGAGCTGAACACAGTGAACTTCGGTCATTTATTCTTGGAAATTGACTGAAATGACGGATGGTTTATCAGAATTATTCTAATCTCCATAAATTCAGAGACACATTATTGGAACCACTCATCCAATTAAACACAAAGCTAAAACTGTCCTGGCTCCAAATTTAAAATGACAACCCTTGGGGAGAAGCAATCTGTCTTCAGCAGGCTCTGTGTGTGTACGTGTGCGCGCGCGTGGTATTTTCACGTAGGAGTGGACCAATAACAGCAGCCGTCTGTGCACTACAGCTGTGACCAGTCAGCAGTTTTCTCTTCAACACATACCAGCAAAACATGTCCAAAGAGCCACTCTTAAAAATATCACATGAAGCGTGTGTGCGCCAGGAACCTGCGGCTGCGGAGTGAGCGCAGGCGCTCCACACTGCGTTACACTTGTGAATGAACACAGATGGACCTGTTTGCTTGACCTTCATCGAAACACAGGCGAGGACGTATCAACAACTTGTTCATCCGCATGATGCTGACACAGAGGAAACCTCGACAAAGTATTCACATGACCAACAACAGCTGCGTCTTTTACAGTCACGATGCTCCCAACGCAACACCGGGAGGACAAAGGTACCAGCCAGGCGTAAAAACTTGCCCGGTTCGAACAGCTCCTGTCTGATTGCGCACAGCGGTTTTCACTGGAGAGGAGAGGAGCTTACAGGTGAGCTTGGAGGTGAAATACTCACAGTGAGTAGCGGCGGATGCTCCGCTAAAGACGCTCAGAGTGTAAAGGGTAAGCATATGCAGCAGCAGCAGCAGCAGAAAAAACATCTTCCCAGCCGTGGTGTGGTATTATCCGTGCGTCCGCAGAGAGAGGGCTAAACAAACAGAGGAGAGGTTCCTCCTCGCTCCTCCAGCACGGAGGGTTACAAGGAGTCTGATGAGGAAGAGCAGACCGCTCCCACCACCACACTCTCTCTCACTGCGAGGCACAGCCCTCCCCTCCCTCTCTCTCTCTCTCTCTCTCTCACTCTCTCTCTCTCACTCTCTATCTGTTTCAGTCTTTATTGGCAGAACAAGAGCATTGCGATGCCCAAGCACGGCCATAAAATGCAGAACAATAGCAAAGATCCACAGAGAAAAGTGCAGCAGCAATTCCAACCTTTATTATATATATGCCTTTGTGAATTCAGCTAACTTTATTGTAAGAGAACAAGAAGCCTATAGTGTTATAAGCTTGGAGTGCTGTGGCAGCTTGGTAGCTTTTGCATGCGTGGTAGGGAACCAATCAGTGTGAAGCGTCTGATTGGAGCGACGTTTTTTATCCTGTCATGTTTTGTGCCAAGAGCAGAAAATATACAGATCTATCTGTCTGTAATTCAAATGTGTTTTATTGGCATTGCATTAATCAGGTACACAACTGCCAAACAATGTGGCACAAGGCTTGTAATTTATGTAAGGGGGTGAAGGGGTGGGGATGGCACACTCACCAAGGGACCCTATTAAAGAACGCAAAAGATGACCCCACAACATGCTCTCTTTGTTTTCCTTACTATAAATTTCATTTGAGCGGGTTGTTTTCTTTGTTGGTTTGTTTTATTTATGTACAGATTTAAATGTCCAGTGTGTAACGTGTTAGGAAGATTTAATGGCAGGAAATGGAATATAATATTCATAGGTAATGTTTTTATTAGTGTATAATCACCTGAAAATAAGAATCGTTGTGAGTTTTGTTGCTGCCGCAGTTTCCACTACACGCTTAGGACAGGAGGGTGAGGCGAGGAGTTTGCAATCAGTAACTACAGTCACTAAATCTTACACACTGGTCCTTTTACTGGGGACATTTATGCTCCCCAAATGTTGAGCCTTTCGATTTCGGAATCACTAGCTAGACATTCAGCTTAAAATGTAAATTTTAATATTTCTCTGGATCCACCTCTGATGTCACTAAATCCAACACACTGGTCCTTTAAAACACTCACCACTGTAGTCTAATGCACAACGCAAAAACTGGATTTAATGTCTTGCAGTGGGCTATGCAGCTGCTGGCAGATTTTTCAAAAATGCTTATTTTTATACAGTGATTAATTGAGTTTACCATAAATGAGCCACTTATTTAAGCTGTAGAATACATTTGTGTAGATCTGTGTCCTAATTTTGCCAGTAGTATTTTTTCAGGCAGCAGTCTACAAGGGCTAAGCTACTGCAAAATTGGAAAGGAAACAAAAATCTGGCAAAGAAGCATTATTTGTAAATCTTGTCATTTGTTCTTTCAAATAATAAAAAAAAAAATCTAGCTGTAAACTAGTTTACTACAGTTTTTGAATCTGATATCTGTGATGTTGTCAGGCCATTCGATCTCAAAAATGACGTACGGATGGACAGAGCCTTTCTCAAAAAAAAATTTTCTTTCCATCTGAGAGTGTCATATTCTTGGTAACTGAGTTGTATTTTGCAGAAAAACTTGAATATACGGACTGCAGTGTATCAGGAAGTGTTGCTGTGTCTCTGCATCTTGCTATTGGCAGAACGGGCTCAGTCTGTTTTCTCCGGGTTGCCAGGTTTTTCTGTGTCCAGTGTCAACGGCCAATTTGTGATCACTTGTGTGGTCACTCAGTCCCACTTGATTAATGTCTCAGTTTCTGATTGCTCACACTGCCCACATAATCTACCACTCTTGTCTGTTCAGTGCTAAACAGCGTTGAAGTTTACTTTGAGTTTTTGGTGTAGATGTCTGGGGGCTGGTGCACATTTTCTGCATGCTGTCTGCTGTAAGGGAGCCTCATGACCAGCTGGTTGAGGGAACTTCTCTCATTTTCTTTGTTTGGCAATGCAGAGCTTGGTAATAGTAGAACGTCCACAGTTGCATTTTTGTGGCAGGGCCGTTTCTAGACTTTTTTAACTGGGTTGGCACAAGAGGGACACTGACTTATGCAGGGGTGGCATGAAGTATGTGTCTCAGTTTTCCAATCAGTCCTAATTTATGCAATTCCAACACTGTTTATGCACCCCAGTCTGCAGAAATATTCAAATACACTAGGCCAAAATAACTTAATTCATACCACATGCAAAAACTGCATTGGATTAGCATAAAGTGGGAATGTCTGCAAAGGGGAGACTTATGAGCATCCAAAGAGCCCATTTTCATTCACATATCCTGAGGTCAGAGGTCAAAGGATCCCTTTGAAAATGACCATGCCAGATTTTCCATTGCTAAGATTTAGCCTTACTTTGGAGCGTTATTTACCCCCTTTGCCGACATACTAGCATGGCATGGTACCAATGGATGCGTTAGGTCTTCTAGTTTCATATGGTACCAGTATCTTCACTAGCTTTAAAACGAAGAAGAGGTGAGGATAATGGGGTGGCCAGTCAGATTTCAAGGGTGACCAGTGCCAACCCAAGCCCCCGCTTTGGAAGCACCCCTGTTTTGTGGGCTCCACACTTAACTACAATATAATCACATTTTTTGTTAAGTTACTGATTTGATTATTCTTCACATTGGTAAAAGTATTCTCTAACTTTGAAATCACAAAATAAGCTGGGAGTAGCAGTGTTGTGGAAGGTTGGTAATGGCTCACAAGGACAGTTGTTGGTTTCTATTAAATCTAAGAAATTTAGTTTTGATTTAAAGGGTTTTCATATTGTCATGATTTAATCTACAGACTTCCTGTTTACCCCCTTAATGCAAAACAAATTTGCTTTATTAGCATGACCATAATTAAGTGCAGTGTTGTGAAAGCATATCAGGTTTGCAAAGTAATAGGTAATGTTAGTAATACACACCACTCAACAATGTACACCACACAACATGAAGATACATCTGTAGAAAGAATATATATGATGGGATGAAATATAGTTTAACAATGGTTATTTTATGGTGAGAGCCATAGAAAGAGATACAACAATTTCATAAAAAACAGAAGAGGGGGGTCGATTGTGAAGCAGCTCAGCACAGTTTTTGTGTTGTTCCACTGGTTTTCCCTCAGGCTCTGACACATATTGCTGCTTCCCTGCCAATGTCAGTTTATTCCCTAAGTAAATGTTGAACTTTGTTGTGGTCTGAGAGTATGTCGTGGCATTTCCCTGGTTTGCATCTCTATACATAGCCTGCAACGATGAAAGAAAAATCAATCATTGCAAACATATTCTAAAAAAGATATTGTAAGATGTGATATACAGCAATTTGAATATAATGGCGATGGTAAAAAACACATAACAAAGTGAAAAAAATCTGTAGATCAGGGCTTTTCAAAGACTGAGACTCTGGGCCTCCCTCAGACAAAGTCTGGAAAAAGGCTCCCCCCACCCCCCTTCAGTTTACTAATTTAGTTTAGTTTTGCTCAATTCCTGGATGCCTATGGGATCATGGTTTTTATTTAATCTAACACACACACAATATTTGAGCAAAGATAGCCTTATATAACAAATATAACTTCAGACTATGCCAATTATACATAAACATATCTGTCCTAAGGCTTTTATTAGTTTCTGACTGAAAAAAAGTCAAATCCCCCAAAACTGCAATATTTCTGAACTCCCTTTGACCAAATCACACACATTTAGGCTATTCTATGTGATCTCCTTTTGAAAACTAACTAATGTAATATTTTTTCACTTCCATTCCTCCCCATGCCTCCCCTGAAACTCTTAGGACCCCCCCTGGAGAGGCCCGCCTCCCACTTTAAAATCCTCTGATGTACTTCTTTTCAGCACCACAGCTGAATAAAGCTCCCTCGCCATACACATTGGAAATAAATGTTCTCGGCCTGACCGTGTTATCTTTAGATGCATTGTAGATCCATTAGTAAACAAAAAAAAAATAAAAAATAAAAAACTGTGTTACTAAAGTGAAGAGACATTCCTTATGAAATGTACGAAAGCCCTAAAGGGCCATGCATTCATACATTTTATTTCCTCTGTTTTCCCATGATAACGAGTTCATTTTCTCGAGATCACAAGATAACGAAACTTTGGTTTCCCGAGATAACGATATAATTAAGACCATGATGAATAAAAAACATACTTAATATCAAGCATTTCTACTGCACCAATGTGGAGAAATTCAACAATAAAATTCCATATTTGTATCTCCAAGTGGCATATTTTCATATATTTGAGGTACAGCCTAAAAGCAGCCGTGACGAAATATGGAATGCCCTGTTGATGGTTGAATTCCCAAACTTGTGCAGTAAAAATGCCCTTGATAATTAAGTATGTGCTTGTGAGTCCTTTACTAGTTGCTGTTAGAAGTCACGGCATATACACACGTTTAATGGAGACATATTTTCATCGTTAAATCGTAGGTTCGATTATAGCTTACTCTCTATATACTTTATTTTTAAACTGGAAAGTGATAACTTTTCCTCCCAACATTACGCATAATGCGGAGAATACTTGCTGACACTTGAATTTAAGTGGGCTGCATTGCACCACGCTGATATCGGGACATGTAACGGCTGCGCTTTCGCCACCGCAGTCGTTACACCCCTCGACATTATCTTGAGATCTCGTATATGTATAGTTCGTTGTTATCTCGGAAAACAAACGTTTTGTGGTTATCTCGAGATCTCGAGAAAATGAACTCGTTATCACGGGAAAACGGAGGAAAAAAAGTGTATGAATGCATGGCCCTTTAGGGCTTCTGTGGAAATGAACCCAACTTACTAAACTCAAGTCTCTCAGAACCTTTCTGTATTTTTCCTGAGGGACCCATAACAAGTAATGCGTTACCACAATCACAAGTATGTTATGACATTACTAATGTTCATGGTAAAAGCTGTATTTATTTATTGTAGCCACTTTGGAGTAGCTCAATAGCTGTAAACAAACATTGTCATATTATCACCCCATAAAGTTAATATGACTAAAGTTTTGGCAAAATGTTGCTAATTTTTGAGCGTCCACTTGACTAAAATAAGTCCACTCTCCTTTTAGATCTCCTCCTTGAGCTCTTGAGGGA